TGCTTTTGATTACATCTATAAATCCAGGCAAACACTATCTAACACTAATCAATCACATCAACAGTCTTATTAAGTTAATTTACTTCTCTTATTGATGGGGGTGATCAAAGTTTATTTTTTCACTAATCAATGCTTAAAATTATTCTAGAATTGTGTAGTCTATTCATTGTGTTAGGGCATCACCATCAACTCTAATCATCATTAGTTGGGATTTCATAATCAGGCACTAGCTAGTAAGTCTTCTATTATTGTGCATATTCTCTTTGTCACTTGTGTTGGAAACTAAGATAAATTTTAGTGACTTCATTAATAAAGATTAAATTTTAAGAACCACGTCAACAACTGTGATATGATTAAAGAACTAAACATTTCATTACTTCTTATATATTTTATATGATTATTAAGCATTTAAGGTTATCGAATCAAATTTAAAATATTATAAATTCAGTTAGAAATTGCTCTCTCAATGTGATTTTTTTTCATTTATAAAATTCAAACCCTTATAATATTGTTAAAAATAAATCAAATATTTTCCCGTCGACCTAATCAATATTAGTATAGTAAATTTATATTTTTACATATGATTACTTATTCGTTCTCTAAATTCATCATTTCAATAGAACTGCACATGGGCAAGGTCAGGGTGAGTATCACCCTTGCTCGATCCTTGGATTGATGTGCAATTCAGGCCAAGTTTGGCCCTATTATCTCAAAAAAAAAAATACAAATATTTTTAAAAAATATATGAAAAAAATTTCTTTCAAAAAAAAATAATTATTATCATTTAAAATAAATTCTTCATAGAACTAATTTCTATAATTAAAAGTAGTGCTTTTAAAATTACATATGATAAACAACATTATCTTTACATAATATTAATTTAAAAATAAATTTTAAATTCTAAAAGAGATTAAAAAATTGTAATAAGAAGAAAGGTCCAAAAAGATCATAAAAATAATATAATTCATGATAACTCTCAACAAAAAATAATAATATAAAATAAATATTATTCAAAAAATATTTTAAAAAAAAAATAATAATATGTTTAGGCCCAGCAAAGTTTAACCCCATGCTAGGTGGTTAGCCTAATGTGCTTGAATGGCTCGGGCAGGGTTGAGCTAACCAGCGTTCGAGCTACGTGAACAACTCTAATTTCAACCGTTTTTGGTTTAATTTTTTTATATGTTTTTAGGAATTTTCAATTACAATATGATAAGCATACAGTTCTTTAATTATAAAAGGTCGGTCTCGTTCCTCATATTGTACGAAGTGAAAACATATATATCTACATATGTATGTATGTTATTTTTAACTTACGAACGATGCAAAAATATTTTTTTTTCTTAATTCACGTACTTATCATAATATTATTAAATAATGATATTATTGTTCTATTTTTCTTATCAGCGTATTCTTATTACATATTAATAAGGAACCTAATAGCTAATAACAATGATGCAGAAAGATGCATTCAATTTTTTTTAGATTGAATCTTGAGAGAATCACATTTAAGAATTACTTAAATAAGTTATTCATAGATAAGAATTAACAATAAATTCCATTCAAAAAAATTATATTTTTATTTTAACAATAATTTATTTTCTATTAATCTTTCATCTTTGTCTGTAAATAATTTTTTTAAATTGTCTTTGGATGTAATTCTCACTTAAATGTCAAGCTTTTTTTGTTGGGTTTGTTAAGAAAACGTATCAAGGCTCTATGGACATGTCCACACCTCTTTTAGATAGGCCCATATTAGAGCCGAGAACGTCATGGTCTAAGCCGAACAAACTATCAATCTCATGGACTTTTTTTTTTTTTAAGATACCAGTCCTTGATGGAGAATGATTTGGCTCATAGGATCTGTCGCTTAAAAATTTGAGGAATCAATCCTCTTACTTTAAGTGGAAAAAAATCAACTATATTCGAAATATAATTAAATACTAAGTATAAATATCTTTCTCAATAAAAATTTAAATTTTGAATTGTCATGTAATCATATTATGAAAGATTAGTCATTTTCGTTAAACCAAATTGCATTTATTATTTTCATGAGTATGACTCTCAGTTCAACCTAACAATACTTGAGTTTAGCTGATAATATCACATACAATTATATAAAAACTACTTAGAACTAGCTCGAGTAACAAGAGTGTGGGGTTGGTGGACAACCCTATGTGAAAATATCTAATTGTTAGTATAAGTAGCCATTCTCTAATCATCACTTTATCCACAAATGGCAAAAGATAGAAAACTAAAAAGTTTCTCATTCTGTTTTTTCAAACAACTTTTTGTGTGACGATGCGTTCAAAAAAAAAAAGTTTTGCCTTTGTTGTCATTATCATCAAATTAAAAGAAACAAAATGGAGTGAATATGAATATAAAACAAAAGAGAATAATAAAAATTAAGTGAACGGATCAAACTCGATACTTCTCAATCAAAAACTCAAATTCAATCCCTGTTAATTTTTTTTAAAAAAAATCTCATGTAGAGGGTAATAATAAGTGACAGAATCAGGATTTTGAATCAAGGGGTGCAGAGTAATTTAATAAAAAATTAATATTTTTAAAAAATAGTAATAATTATGCTAGGCTTAAAATTATAATAATATAAATAAATTTATAATTATTTTTTATTTTTAAAAATTATATTGAATAAATTGATATAATCTTTTATTATAAATATGATCTTCATATCTTATTTAAATTATTAAAATATTATATATTTAATAAGTTTTTAATTTTAAATATTTTTTATTTAGTTTAAGGGAGCAAATTAAAATAAGGGGTGCAAAGTGAGGGGTCTAACGTGCCTCCGCCCCTGGTAACAATACCAATTTTTTTATTTTTTGGGTGAATAACAATACTAAAATTTAAATTAATTTAGATATGAACGTTTGTGGCTCACAATGATTTTTATTTTTACATTTGTCGACGGGCCTGCTTTTGGAGAGGTTGCTTTTACGTTGTCAGCTAGCTTCAGGCTGCATGTTCTGAAATATGGCAAAGTGTGTCAGCTTTTAATTTGTCTCTCTTTGGTTTTCCATTTTTCTTCTCTAGTCTATTTGTGTTTTACGTGTCTGTAAGCCCGGCTCTTTTTATTGGGCTCTCAGATTATTATGTAATTGTTTTATTACTTTTATATATATATATATATATATATAATACCGAATAATATATAACTGTGCAAAAATAAAAAGAAAAAGGAAGTGAGAAAATTAGGCCATCGCACCACAATTAAGGAATCTTCTTTGACCGGTCTCATCTCACATACATGGAATCTAGAACCACGTAATGAAAATTAAACTAAACGCATAAAATTTATAATATGCCTCATCCTTAAATTTGATTATAATATGCTTTGCTATCAAAGAAACAGATTAATGAAAATGAATATGGATTTCTTTTAAGAAAAAAGTAAAAAATGCTTAGATTTAAATTAGTTAGCAATATGCAACCTATAAGGGATCCAGTTCTAGTGCTCAACACTTTTGTAAAAAACACTAACTTGAGCTGTCCATATTTAATATTTTTTTAAAAATATTATTTTAATAGGTATAGAATTTAAAATCAAGATAATCTTATACCTATCACTTTGGCAAAATATATTTTTTATACACAAAAAATTTTAAATATAAACTGTCAGAATCAGTTTTGGATGAGTTATATCTGACTACTATATGTAACTTGCACCAAAACTCAACCTGTAAGTAATACCGTGAAAGGTGAAATTCTGTGGATAATTTAAAGAGAGAGAAGTGATAGATAGACTCAATGAATGTTTTGTGTAACTCCACATATCCCTTTTTCCTTGTTTCTCAATCTCACAATTTCATAAAACTTGCATGTTGGATCTCTTTCAAAACCATCAATTGTATTCGGCTCATTTGTCTTTCCACATCATAGTTTACTTTGTCACAAATGCTTCCACTTCGCTCCGCATATTTCTGACTCATCATGCTTTATTATTTATCCTGTCTTTGACTTTTTTTCTCTCTTTTTATCTCTTCTTTTTCCCTTTTTCCTCCTTCGTACAAAGACAATTAAACACACGTAGGCAAGCATTATTATTCCATGCATGTAGTGATCTCATTCACTTATTTCTCATCCACAAATACAATCATACATAAATATCAACCTTCTTTGTCTCATGCATGCATGAACCTTCAAGCCCTCTTGTTACATATTTACTCATACAAGTGTGTACACATAGCTAGATAGGGTTATATATACGCATTAATATTTAACCCTCTAATCCTAGGTAGGGTCCGTTGATCGTGATTTTTATTTATGCGTGATGACGCAGAGAACATAATATCCTTTTGCTTAAATTTAAAGACTTCTTTGATAATTCATTTTTTCCCCTCCTTTAATGTTGATAAATCCATCATGGTCACTTTATATATAATGTCAAACTATTACTTGATATATAAATTTATATATTTTCTATCAAATCATCTTTCCGTTTATTTAGTGTTGGGTAGAAATGATGTTTTGAAGATCACAAGGGACTTTTAGGGGCGCCCACAAATATAGACACAATTCCATAAATTACTAATTAATTCCGTCATTTCTTTATGAACAATGATCATAATGGAGGAGATTGTGGCCGCTTAAGTAAGAGATCTTGATTAAAATGTATGTGAATGTAAAAAATGCTTTTAAAAAGATAACCTACAATTGGGCTAATGTTAGTTTTATTAATTAAGACAAATTATGAATTCTACTTTAAACCTTAAAGTCATATGCCACTCAAATGAACCAACTAAATATGCAGCATTTTTTTAAAATAATTCATAAATACTTTACTAAATCTTACAAAGTATTTTATATTATTGACTAAACAAAACTTTTAGAATGTATACCTTATATTAAAGAGAAGAGGTATAATGTAAACGCTTTAACATGTTACGCTTTTTAGGAATCATCAATAGAATAGGATTGTGAATGAATGTAAAACGTTGAAATCTCATAGTAAATTGAAAAGATAGGTTGTACATATGGAGGCAATTGATAGAAGCTTGTATTGGAGGAGACCTTTACTAGGGGGTGTTAAGATTAATGTTGATGGTTCTTTTAATAATGTCTTGAAATCTTCTAATGTTGGTCTTGTTTGCAAAGATGAATTTGGAAATTTTTGGGTGGTTGTGGGAAGAATATTGTTGCCGAATCTGCTCTCAAGTCTAAATGTTTGGCTGTCTTGAAAGGTTTGAGAGTGGCTTAACGTTATCCTGATCAGAGGGTTTTTGTGGAAATGGATTGTGAAATTTTATTTCGAATGTTAACAGGTAATCTTAATTCTAATTATGATTGGAGATGTTCTGATATTGTGCAGGATATTATTATAGCTAAAGAATCATGCAATAATGTTGGTTTCTCTTTGGTGGCTCGCCAAAGTGATGAAGCTGCTAACTTCTTAGTAGTGATGGGTTCTAAGAAGATGTGTTCAATGGGATGACTTTCTGTAGCTACATCTTCTTTGTTTGGGTTATTACTTGTTAATTTGAAAGCTTGTAATTGTCATCATTTTTCTTTTGCTTCTGCTGGTTCCTCTCATAACAAAGAGGGGATTGGTTAATATGTTGGTTTTTTAGATTGAACAGTTATGTTATTGGTTTTGGTTGTTTTTTGTTTTTGTTTTTTATTTTGTGAGTTGTGTGTTAAGTTGTATTCTAGGTTTTTTTTTTTGAGTGTTTTTTGGCTTTAGCTATTTGTATTTGTAATAATTTTTTGGAGATTAATAAAATTGACTCTTTTTTGGCCAAAAAAGAAAGGGGCCAAAAAAGAAAGGAATCATCAATAGAGTAGATTATTTTCCAAAATTTGTGCAATACATAAATTAAACTCAAGTTAGTTCCATATTAAAATGTTAACTATGAATATTAAGTAGATTATTTTGTACAAAAAAAAGAATATTAAATAGATTAAATGACTAAATATATATATATATATTGGAAGTTAATTTACATTACTTTAAATTTTGATTAACTCGGTATCTTGATTTTAAATAGATTAATAAGCATTTTCAAAAGTTGTCCCACATATATAAGGGTAAATAAAAAAATTACTCTTTAAACTTTAGATCCAATAATACTATAAATTTTAAATTCATTTATTACACAATTTTTTCTTTCAATTTTTAAAAAAGGTGCAATTTGACCTTTGTTGTTGGCAATAATTAATTTTAATTATTAGTTAATCAAAAAATGACAGAAAAGGACCTCAAAAATTAAAGAAAATGACCAAAAGATTATAGTAAATAACTCAAAAAATATAGACAAGAACTAAAAAAAATTTGGTCCTTTTTTGTAATTTTGAGATTATTATTTTTTGTCACTTTTTAATCAACTAAAAGTTAAAGTTAATTTTTATTAATGGAAAGGTTCAAATTACATCATTTTCAAGAGTTAAAAGTATAATAGATAATATGGGTTAGCCTACAACTCACGAGCCTAGCGGGGTGGGTTGACATTACCTACATTTTGTGTGGGTTATATTAAAGAGAAGAGGTATAACGTAAACGCTTTAACATGTTACGCTTTTTAGGAATCATCAATAGAATAGGATTGTGAATGAATGTAAAATGTTGAAATCTCATAGTAAATTGAAGAGATAGGTCATACATATGGAGGAGGCAATTGATCGACGCTTGTATTGGAGGAGACCTTTACCAGGGGGTGTTAAGATTAATGTTGATAGTTCTTTTAATAATGTCTTGAAATCTTCTAATGTTGGTCTTGTTTGTAGAGATGAATTTGGAAATTTTTTGGGTGGTTGTGGGAAGAATATTGTTGCCAAATCTGCTCTCAAGGCTGAATGTTTGGCTGTCTTAGAAGGTTTGAGAGTGGCTCAGCATTATCCTGATCAGAGGATTTTTGTGGAAATGGATTGTGAAATTTTATTTCGAATGTTAACAGGTAATCTTAATTCTAATTATGATTGGAGATGTTCTGATATTGTGCAAGATATTATTATAGCTAAAGAATCATGCAATGATGTTGGTTTCTCTTTGGTGGCTCACCAAAGTGATGAAGCTGCTAACTTCTTAGTAGTGATGGGTTCTAAGAAGATGTGTTTAATGGGATGACTTTTTGTAACTACATCTTCTTTGTTTGGGTTGTTACTTGTTAATTTGAAAGCTTGTAATTGTCATCATTTTTCTTTTGCTTCTGCTAGTTCCTCTCATAACAGAGAGGGGATTGGTTAATATGTTGTTTTGGTTTTTTAGATTGAACAATTACATTACTGTTTTTCATTGTTTTTTGTTTTTATTTTTATTTTGTGAGTTGTGTGTTAAGTTGTATTCTAGGTTTTGTTTTTTTGAGTGTTTTTTGGCTTTAGCTATTAGTATTTGTAATAATTTTTTGGAGATTAATAAAATTGACTCTTTTTTGGCAAAAAAAAAAAGAATCATCAATAGAGTAGATTGTTTTCCAAAATTTGTGCAATACATAAATTAAACTCAAGTTAGTTCCATATTAAGATGTTATTTATGAATATTAAGTAGATTATTTTGTACAAAAAAAAGGAATATTAAATAGATTAAATGACCAAATATATATATATATATATATATTGGAAGTTAATTTACATTACTTTAAATTTTGATTAACTCGGTATCTTGATTTTAAATAGGTTAATAAGTATTTTCAAAAGTTGTCCCACATATATAAGGGTAAATGAAAAATTACTCTTTAAACTTTAGATCCAATGGTACTATAAATTTTAAATTCATTTATTACACAATTTTTTCTTTCAATTTTTAAAAACGGTGCAATTTGACCTTTGTTGTTAGCAATAATTAATTTTAATTATTAGTTAACCAAAAAATAACAGAAAAGGACCTCAAAAATTAAAGAAAATGACCAAAAGATTATAGTAAATAACTCAAAAAATACAGACAAGAACTAAAAAAAATTTAGTCCTTTTTTGTAATTTTAAAATTATTTTTTTTTGTCATTTTTTGATGAACTAAAGGTTAAAGTTAATTTTTATTAATGGCAAGGCTCAAATTATATCATTTTCAAGAGTTAAAAGTATAATAGATAATATGGGTTAACCTACAACTCACAAGCCTAGCGGGGCGGGTTGACATTACCTACATTTTGTGTGGGTTATATTTCTACCAACTTGCACCGGGTTGGTGACCAATAAAAATTATTTTTTATTTTGGACGGTCTAGCTTAACAAGTTTTATTTTATTTTTTATGTTATAATTATTAAAATAAAAATTAATAAATCTATTTTATTATTAATCTAGATAATATAAATTTAATCTTATAGCCCAACTCAATAGTAAAAGTTTTTAGAATTTTTATAAATTAACTATCTAGAATCATTTGTTTAGATTTAAAATTTTAGTAGGTTTGAAAATTGAGAGCAATTATACACTAGCTATGAGTTCAAGGCTCACCTCACATAGAAAATAAACTCATTTTTTTAACCCAACCTACATTTTTTGTGGGTTGGCAGGTTGAGCCCTTGAAGTTTATAATGCTACTGTATCTAAAGTCTATGCATCAATTAATCATTTACCCTAGGTATAATTAAGTATACTTCCTTTATTTCTATATAAGATGTTTCTTAGGATTTTTTTTTTGTCGCTAAATATGAGATGTTATTAACATATTTTTTAATAAATAGATTATTAGACCCTTATTATATTAAAAAGCAAAAAACTAGGTACTCATTAATTTACTTTCAAAAAAGATTCATTTTTTTATTTATAATAATTAGAGATGCAGTTGAAATATTGTTATATTTTTAAATAAGTAACTAATTTTTATTAATTTATGTAACTCCGTTAAAGTCATGTTATATATGTAAGGAGAGAGGGAATATATCTTTTCTTTAGTGCTGGTAGTGATCACGTTGCTGTGAGGAAAACATGACGAATGCCAGATTGCGGGTCTACTGAAGGCTAAATTTAATAGGATAATATAAATTTCTGCATTAAAAAGACATTTAAACCATTCCTCCTTGAGAAGAGAATAATCTCTAAATGGTGCTCAAATTTTTTTTAAAGGAATAGTCTCATAATTGTTGATTGTGAAAATATCTCGAATGACACAAAAAAAAAAAGGCATTTAAAACTATAAACAACAATTGTATAACTAAGTCATATAATCTTCAAAACTCAAATTTTATTAGTGGGTTTGGATTGGGAGTGAAAGAGAAATTCACAAATAACTCTTGGGCTTAAATTAAAAATGTTGGGCATATTTGGTGACCTATTTTGAAAACAATTTCACGTTTTTCAGAATAAAAAAATATATTTGATAACATATTTTTAAAAAGTATTTTTGAGAATAACAAACAGAATATCATTATAGAGAATAGAAAAAAAAGAAACATCCTATAGGTATTTTAGGATTATTATTCTGAAAAATAAAAAATAAAAAATACTTATTTTATTATTTTTTATTTTAAAAACATATTTACAAAACATTAATTCTTAAAACAATAAAACAAAGACAATTTCAAACATGCCTGTTATTTCTTTTATCTATGGGGATCAATATCATGGATAAGTCCGCTTGATAATTAAAGTTAGATGCTAAAAGTAAATTTCATTTTTTTAATTTTTTAATCTAAAACAATAAAATGCAGGAACTTATTAATTAGAAGGGGTACAATTTTTATATATATATATATATCATTTTAAGTAAGTTGAATTCTAAGTTCGTCATGGTCAAAACATGCATTCATTGGATTCAAAGAATAAAATGCCAATAGAAACATTTATAAATCAGCGACTATCTAACAAGGTGTTTGTATGGAGTGTGACATTTAAACCCATATTTTTATAAATTAGATGTCAAATTTTTATTAACTGAACCATTTTTATGCCGCATTTTTATATGTCTGCTAGAACTACACAGAAAATTGTCAATGGGACACGAGAAAAGCCCTTTATTCTCAATACGAAACGACATCAACAATTCTGTCCTATTCTTCCTTTTTCCAACTTCTAAATTATTGCTCTGGAGGCTCCACAAATTTCACTATTTCAATATAAAATATTTTTGCCAGAATTTCGATATAAAATATTAAACATTAAGGACAAGCCATGTTATTTATAATCCAATAATGCTGTTCATTGCCAAACCTTGTGCAATACCATGACACTATATTTAATATTAGAGAAAAATATTAAATATCCAATGAGTCCAGCTGTTCACTTGTCATAAGTAGAAAATTACATCTCACATAGGAAAATTGTTTAGTTCTGTTATTCATTCAAAAATTGAATTGATTTTTATTAGTTTAATATTATTTGTTTTAGTCTAACTAGCACATTTTTCATTGTTAAGTCAGGTAGAAATTTAATGCTAAGAATATTAATTCACCATTGTCGACGAAAATTGTTAGAGTAATTTTAAAAAAATTAATGTTGAGTTATGACAAAATAATACTAAAGAGACATAGTGAAACAAAAAATAATTTAAAGAAAGTAAA